ATTCTTTGTCGTTATTTACATTCGCGATCTGTATTTATTGCATTTGATTATCAAACATTACTTTAGTCGGGTAAAAGGCAAAACAGTTTTTCAAAAAAAAAAAGAAAGTATTGATTTTTAAATATATTCATGCTCCTTTATTTAGATAATAAGTGATTATTAATGGAAAATTTCTCTAGCAGTCAAGTGATTACTTGGATTAAATCGTTTATTACAGATGAATTAATTGTTCGTTTTTTTCAAGGTACAGTATGCTTTATATAACGATATCCACCATCTCGGTCGAACAGGCCTATAAAAGATAGAGCAGAGCTTCTCATAGCTACTACAGAAGTAGAAAATGTTGTTAAAAGTATCTTATGTTATGGGTTGGTGATGTAAAATTCTCGAAAAAAGTCTAGGAAGACATTTCTACTTCAAGAGTGAACTTTGTGGTGTAAGATTGACATGTGTCTTTTAATAAAAGAATGTTTGATGTGTTTGAAAAAATTTAATTGTTATCGCGTTGTAAAAGAAGAAATCTTTACAATGAGCGAAGAACTGAAACATTTTTTGTTGATATAAAACGCTCTCTTTATATTAATACGCTCCAAATAATAGTTTATTATATTTTGTTTAAAAAAAGAGCACGGTTCATTGTTTGAAGTTTCTTTTTTTAGTAATATAACTGTTTTCGACAATATTGTATTACGTAGTTAAAGTATCCGAGCTGTTTGAGTGATCATTATGTCTGAAACACATTATTTTTGTCCTCTTTGTATTACTCCAAATGTTTTCAAAAATTATTCGTCGCTATTTAAACATATTTGTGAAGAGCATTATAAAGATCCGTCTTTTGGTATTCGATGTGAACTAAGTGTTTTTTGCGGTTTCCGCTATTCAACGTTCAATAGTTACCGTCGACATATTTATCGTTGTCATCGTTCTCTTATCGACTCTTTCGACACCAGTAATGATGTTATATCATCGAACATTGACGATATCACAGACGACATGGAAGATTTTTCTTTAGATCCTGTATCTAATAATCAATCGAATTTTATTGATAACTCTGATTCGTTGATTTATCCGGAGGAAGAAGTTGATGAAATGGATTATAATTTTTTAAATTTTAATCCTATTACTATTCCCGTTATCGACGACAATTTAAGTTTTAAAAGAATTGCCGAATTCTATACTCGTTTTCTTCTTGAACTGCGAGAGTATCACTTACTTCCGCAAAAAATGGTTCAATCTATTTCATTTTACATTTCCACTTTACTTGATATGATTTTTAAATTGATTAAAACAAAAACATCAACTTCCAACTTCATATCAACTAATGATTTTGATACAGCTTTCGCACAGATTAATTCGATTATTAATTCTATTTCAAAAAGTGAATATCAATTCTTAAGACAATGTAAGAATTATTTTAACTACGAAGCCCCAACTGAAATCATCTTAAATACAAATGAAGAACGTGCTTATTATATACCTTTAAAACAAAGTATAGGAAGCATGCTTCAAAATGAACAATTATTGAAGTCGATAATTGATAATATCAATTCTTTATCGAAATATGTAGCTAAAGATCAAGATCTGATCTTGTCAAATCGACAAGGTCATTCAATTATATCGAATTTATCTCGTCAAGCAAATCCAAATGCTTTATTACTTAAATTATATACAGATGGAATCTCCGTTACTAATCCTCTTGGTGCTAAACGAGATTCCCACAAGCTTACCTGTTTTTATTATCTCTTGGACGATATGCCAGAAATCATTCGTTCAAAAGTAAACTATATTGGATTGTTTTGCATGTGTTATACAAAGCATTTAAATGATCAGAATAATCGAACGATATTAATGGATGTACTGGTAAATGACTTGAATATGCTTCAAAATGAAGGCATAACAATTGCGTGTCCTTCAAGTAGAATATATTTCGTTTTTTCAACTGTATGTGCTGATAATTTAGCTGCCAACGAAATTGGAGGATTTCAGAAGACATTTAGTTCAGGCAGCTTTTGCCGACATTGTTATATTACATATGAACAGCGACTTATTCCATTAACTGATATATCATTTGTACCTCGAACTAGATCAAAACACGACATGATTCTCCATCAGATTATCAACAACAACAATGATCAAATTATACAAGGAGTTAGAGGTCACAGCTGGTTTAAAAATGTAATAGGTTTCTATCCAACTGAGTCATTACCACCGGATATAATGCACGATGTTGCAGAAGGCAATAAACAGTAACGCTTTTATTTTTACGCCAAAAATTATTTTTATATCATTCAGGTTTATGTCCATTGATCATCACTGTTCTATTAAAAGAAGCTGTACAAAAACATATTTTGTCATATGTCCAAATCGAACAGCGTATATCGAACTTCAATTTCGGATTCAATGATCTGCCTAATAAACCTCCACCGATAAAAAAGCAACATTTGACTAAATCAAATATTATTGGCACTGCTAGTCAAAAGCTATGTTTATTTAGATTTCTGCCTATGATTTTTTATGATGTTATCGATGATCTGGCATTATTTAATCTGTACACGATGTTACGTGAGATCATTAGCTATCTGTATGCTGATGTCATCAGAAAATCTTGGTTACCATATCTTGATGCGTTATGTAAATCGTTTTATTCATTAATGGTTGAACGTTTATCCGATCATGTAATACCAAAGGTTCACTTTCTTACCGAGTATTGTCGTTCGATTGAAAAACATGGTTTGCCGATACTGAATTCTTGTATACGTTTCGAATCAAAACACCAGTACTTCAAACAAATTGTTAATCGTAGTCTCAATTTCAAAAATCCTCTTCTCACTATGTCTAAGCGACATCAATTACGTAAATGTCTATTGAATAAGTTAGAATCGTCTCGCTTCTCAGCATCTATAACAGTACATTCATTCAAGTCAACTGAGTTTTTTAAATTTTCGATTCCAATTCAACGTTTATTGCACAAAGATGTTAGTCAAACTGACTCAATATATGAAAGTTTATCTATCTATTATCACGATATTAATATAAAACAAAGATCTGTATTTGTTCATGATCTTGTTCATACGGAAGAAATTCCAATCTTTTGTCAAATTCATCATTTATTAAAGATTAAAGACAAATGGTTTGCAGTTGCAGAAAAATTACATACAAATTCTTTCAATGAAAACTTATGGGCTTATGAAGTTGAATATACAGGAAAATTAGTTAAAATCGAGATAGAACATTGCTTAGATTTATTCGCTCATTGTCTTGATATTTATGCAGTTCAACAAACATATTACATAAATATATTAACTCGTTTAACTAAAAGATAAAAAATATTCTTCTTTTGTATATTGATACACAGCAAAAAGCAATGTTCAGTTTGACAAGCAGTTGACTCATAACTAATATTTTTAAAAATCATCTATTAATTGTAAAAATGATCAATAGAAAAAA